TCATCATGCTTTCCTTTAATTATTAATAAATAGTATAAAACTATGAGTTAATTTGAATTTCAAAATGTGAAAACGGCTTAAATATCAAAGCTTTGATCGACATTAGAAAAAGCTTGAAAATGTTTCAATCTTCTAATTTTTTTTCAATACTCACGTTTGAAGGTGGAATGACACGAACAAAGTCTCCAATTCTCATGTGTTCATAATATGCCAATTTTAAATCTTCAATTATGAACTCATCCATGCAATTAAAACACAAATCGCATTCTGAGTTATCACATGACTCATTACATGGTTTCTTTAAGCACATTTCTGGAAGAACTGTTAAACAATCTTTTTGACAAAACAAATCATCATTCAACACATTTCTAACACGTGAACCATTCAAGCTGCCTTCAAAGCCCACAAGTGAAAGAACATTAAATGCAACGTTGTCAAAAATTGTTTTGTAACCTACTGACTTGTAGGGTATTAAATTAGGACTCATATTGACTTCCATTAAATACAATTGAAGTTTTGAATCGAGAATAAAATCAAATCGAACAAATTCGAAAAAGTGATTTTTTCCATGAGCTCCAGACGTAGCTTTAATCGCTTGAATGAATTTTGGTTCCTTCATTAGAATGATTTTTCTTATGCAATCTTCTATCTGATCATCAACAATTTGAGGATCCAAACCTTTGCCTTTTAAATACGTGTGAACTGCATCTTTTGCTGAATAAGAATTATTAATTAATGTTTCGACAAATGGAAACTGAATGCCTGGAATGTGACTGTCAGAGATAGCATAGGTGTCTACGTCATCGAAGTTATTCGGATCGTATGGTTTGCTACAAAATCTCAAATGATAAGTTTTTCCATAATAATAAACTCTCAATGGGTCCACTGATGTTATCACCACAAATATGTTTAAATCAAATTTATGACCATTTATGAGAAAAGGATCTTCAACATATTCTTGAGCGAAATAATCTTCATAAATATTGTTTGTGTCTGTTAAATTCATTTCGCTAACTTTTTTTAAGGACACTCCACGATTTGCTTTGAATTTCTCAACAAATCTTTTCTCTGGATGTTTATTCGCATATTCTGTCAACTCTTCGATATCTGTGAAAGCTTTCGGAACGTATTTCAAATCAGTATTTGTCGCCATGTAGCTTTTCAATACAAGATGAACGTTTCCTGGGATGTGATTGATTCTTTGATAATGCTTCAACTTTGAGTAATTAAGTGGGATTTGTCTAATATATTCGAAAGCCCAAAGTAAGTCCCAATCGTAGTGAATGGTTGCAGATGTCGATGAATCAACTTCTGTTCTCTCCCAGTTGAAATTTTTCAAAACTGTTTCAATTGGCTCAAAAACATGATAATGTCGACTATTTTCCCTGTAGAGCCAATATTTTAATTTTGGTTTTGCTTCTTGAATTTCACATTTCAATTCCGAATTTTCTTCACTATCCCAAACAAATTTTGACAAATTAAAAGCTAAATGTATGAAAATAATCCCAAAAATTGAAGAAATAAATGATTTTAACATTATAAGAATATTTAAACCACGTTATTTGAGTGAAAGACAAGAAAAGACTGAAATGTTCATTCCGAAGCGAACTCCAAATTTATTTCTAAATTCATTGCCATACGTTGTTTACACAGCTTAAAGTTTCATAAATATCTCTCACATTGAAGCTTTTTATTCTCTCTGTACACATTTTCAAACTTTTCTTTCTTCTCAAATCAGACAGATGTGCTTTAAGCGAAATTTGAATATCTTAATCCTTTATCAATCATTCTGCATTAACTTATTGCAATTTCATTTACACCTTATAAGTACTCATAAGTTTTTAGATTAATAAGCCCCTGAAAAAGTTTAGAGAACCTTCCAAGACACTACAGTCTAAAAATGTTTTTTGCAAGATTCGCACTTTTATTTAGCAAGTTTTACTTACGTATGACAAAACATGTCATTGAAATGAAAATAATTTTATTTTTATTTCAATGATAAAAAGAAAATGATTTATAGACAAATTAAGATTTTACTTAAAGGATTCAACATATTTTTAAATAAATCAGAATTGTTAAAGAAGATATTTCTAAAACATTTTGGTTTTATTAAGTTTCATAAAANATTTTATTGATAAAGGAGATCAAAAGATATAGCAAGTGAAAGTAAAAAAATTATTTTTCTGTTCCGTTGGCGTTTCTCTCCTCTAAGTTTCATAAAACAGTTTTTAACGGTTTTCATATTTTCAAAAATAAAATTCCAAGTAATTCCACACTCTCCACCTGAAACTAACTTTTCAGTTTTAGTTCGAAGAACTTCATTAATTATAAAGTTTTGAGGGCTGAAAGAGTAAACAGCAGATTCATATTTATAGAACAACTTCAATAAATTTCTCCTCAACTTATTAAGTGTTTGTAATTTTATAAAAGTAACAAAAATATTGTTTATTAAAGAGATATGAGTTAGTGAATTTCGATTCGATAGTGTCAACAATGATGAATTCCCATTTAAATCATTATGCTTCGGGCATAAAAACCGAAGATATCGATTTTCACAACATAAAAATGCACCAGTTAAATTATTCACAACAAGAAAATAAACCACATAAACAGAACAGTTCGAAAAATCAAAACTCTCATCCCGGAAGTTCATCAAATTCCACTTCGTCAGCGAATGGTGTCTTTATTGACATGGGAAAAGTTTTGTTAGAGGCTGCAAAATGCGGTGACTCAGAAAAAGTACAGGAATGCGTAAAGAATGGTGCACCATTCATTACTGATTGGGTAAATATATTTGTGAAAGTTTTTTCAAAACTCAACTGGATCTTTTACTACGAATGTTTCAGCTGGGAACTTCAGCTCTTCATATTGCTGCTAAAAACAATTATTATGATACATGTGCCACACTTTTACGATCAGGAATCAGTAAAGATGCAAAAACAAAAGTTGATCGAACGCCTTTACATTTTGCAGTATGCGAAGGAAATTTTGAGATTTGTCAACTTCTACTGCAACACGAATGTTCTGTTGATCCACTGGATATGGTGAGTTGCAATTATCTTAAATTGTAGCATGTTCTTAATATTTATTTTGCAGCTTAAAATGACGCCTCTGCATTGGGCAATCGAAAAAGGATTCGATAACATTGCGGAACTTCTACTGACACATGGAGCGAATCCTCTTACAATATCAAAATTCTTGAAGTCACCGTACTCTATAGCTAAGGATAGAAAAAATGATTTCATCATAGGAATGATTGAAATGTTACCTCAATCTGATTTTAATCCGAATATTTTAAATAGTAATTCCGAGCTTAACTTAAATTCGTTGCCATTAAAAATCCAAAAAACAGAAAAATCCGAAACAAAGCCGGTAGTTTATAAACGAGAACGAATTCATTTATCAAACGATGCACCTGACGTGAAACGTTCAAGACCATCAATTAATGATCCTAAAAACTTAACACTTCAATTACTTCAAGAGCAGATGAGTATGATGTCAAATGCTGATGATAATTTAATTGAATCAGCATTGCAATCAGGACGAAGAATTACTTTGACCGAAGTTGGCAAACGACTGTTGAATGATTCAATTTTAAATAAATTCTTAAAGATCAACACGACAATTTCCTCATCACCTTCATCTTCATCATCATCGTCATCGTCATCAGTTGTAAAGAAAGAACTTTCACCGAAATCAGCAACAGTAACATCAAGTCGTACTAGTGACAGTTCCGATGTCTTGGAAATCTTTAGGGACACTGCCTGTGGCAGTGGTTCGAAGAAGATTAAACCTGACATCCTCAACATTATTCGAACATCTTCAGATCTTCAAGAAGTGACGATAACGCAACGGTCGAAGACGTCACCAGCGCCTTCACCAACATTAAAATCCAGCATTAGCCTTTCCGCCATTAATGTGCCAAAAGTTAAAGTTCAACAGGGACATGTAAAACAAAAAACACAATTGCCTTCATCACCGGATGCGAATAGTTCAGATTTCCGGCAACGAACGGATGTTGCTGTTGACTTCAACCAACCGGAAGTTACGAGTCGGAATTTTTCGGAACTCTGCAGTAATTATCAGCAATTGAAACGATTATTTGAACGTGAACAACTGAAGACTGCTTCGTTACAACGACAATTGAAACAGTTGGAAGTGAATTTTGATGCTTATAAGCGACATCAAAACGATAAAATTGATTCAATATTAAAATTGCTGGCGGGAAACAGGCAAATATCGATAAATGAAGATGGTGGCGATGGATTGGACGAAACTGAAGAAATCCTGTGATGACTTCTCATTTAATATCATTCGTGTTGTAAATAAACAAAACTTTTGATCGAGAGAATGCGGAAATATCTATAAAGAAATCCTTTCCGCCCTAACAAAAAAGATTTTACATATTTTTTTAATAAATTTCACTTTTCTCCCTGTTTTGACGAGCAAAAGAAAAATAAAAAGAAAGTAAGAAGAAATGCAATTAAAACTCCTTCAATTTTCATTATTTTTATATATTTTATTTTGATCTTTAATGGAGTTTCCTTCCTTGTTTTTTTTGTGGAGAGAATTTTTACAATGAAGATGTTTTTTTTTTTTTTTTTTTAATGCTAATGATAAGAAATATTAATTTAATTATGTTCAAGGAAAATATCAACGACGTTTATTTTATTTCATTATAAATTTTTCTTGACTTAAGTTCTGTCCAGTTGTATAAAAATTATTTTGTTGTTTATTTTATCTTCTTTTGTTTAAATATGAATTTAATTAGGTATATT